ACCTTGTTTTCTGAAAGTTTTGAGGTAAGGATTTGGCCTAAAACATATTTTTAAAAGCCATTCATGGTGGAGGGGTACATGCAGGACATTGTAAGGCAAATAGTCACCGAAAAAACATATTTTTCTAGATTTACCTCTACATTACCATCATCAACAACACATAAAAAGGTCAGAACACAGGTGTAGGTTCACAGGTGGTTTTGAATAGTAAACAGAATGGCTATATTTGTGTTGCATACGTCGTGACCCCTGGTTCCAATCACCATCACTGTAAAGAATTCAGACTCAGTGTGTTTCTCTACAATGAACCATTTGAACCACCCTTCATGTATCCTTACATCATTAATAGATTTTTAATAAAATATTTTAGGCCTAAATCTCTCATTAAATCTAATCTATCATAAAATAATCTCTAAGGCATCAGGCAGTGTATTCATAACCATTTCATGTAAGAACTTTCTGTGAGGGAGCTTTTAGAGGAATTAAACGGTTACGACATCTGGTTCGTCATCATCACTGTAAACAATCATGACTCAGCAAGTTTCTCTAGAACGGAGCATTTCACATCAAACCTCTCTAAATGATTGTTGACAATCTTAACAATTACATTATGTAGAAATGAAGAAGAATTGATGGAACTTCCCATTGTGTTAGCCCACACTCTGTGTGGTCTTAATGGACACAGTCATTGGCTCTACATTGTTCAGTGTAATGCTTTCCCAACTTCTCATACTAGGTAGTACAGCAGAGGGAAAATGGAACAGGATTAGAATATTTTAATGTAAACCAACTTTGGCCTAAGATATGAGGGGCTATAGCTATGTTACAACAGTTTGTTCATGTAAGTATTTAAGGTGTACACAGTAAGGATAAAGAAAGATACATCATACATGGTAACCGCTTTTATTGGTATTTATTTATGTCCATGAACAAATGTTTTTACAATATGTAACAAATTGTGTATGACCATAAACAGTGTCATATCATCCAGGGAATACAGCTGTATGCCAAAGATTAGGCCCCCCTAATCAAATTATGTTTTGTTGATTTTCTAAGTGAAAATAAGTGCACATCCTCTAATAGTATTCAGTGCTTTTGTTGCAAATACATTACAAATAGTGTCATTTCCTGTCCACTGCAGTGAAAGACATGCAGTCATGCTAAAGGTGGATGTTGTGGTAATATTACAGAGAAAAACGATTGATTCCGTTACTATTGCAAGGCAAGAGGAACATGCTGTTACATTTTGACACTGAAGTTATGAAAAATGATTACAAAACTGCACTGAATATTACAAACAGAATAAAAACAAATAAGGTTATACTGTTTACATATTAAATATTTTTATAAATATGTTCTGTCTAGTACAGGTGTGCACAACTCTGGTCCTGGAGGGCCGGTGCTCAGCACAGCTTGTAGGTTTCCCTAATTAAACACATCCACTAAGTTGTGCACCCCTAATCTAGTATATTTAAGTAACTCAAGACTTTATACCTTCATCTTTTCTTATCCTGTGCAAACTCTGTAAAATAAAGGATTTCAATGTTTCGGAAAATCCCTTACTGAAAATTTTAGCTGATCAGTCCACAGAGGTATTAATGAATGATATAAAATATTCGGATGAAAAATCTAATTCTAAAACAATGCAAAAGGGCATGCGGCATCACATATAGTATCTTTCAATTATGATGGTTCATTACAGGCTGAAGAAGTTTTCACTGTAACCATAGTAATAACTGATCAGTACAGATTTCATTTTTGAAATATTTTAATATGATGATAAATATAAAAAAACAGGGACAACTACAAAGGCTACAAAAATTGACTTGTTTTTGATATAAAGAAAAAAAGGTGTTGTGTTATGAACAAATAATTCCTCTCATATTGCAGCATAAAATTCATTTGAAGACTGACAATGCCCAAAAGAAATGAGTATAAAACACTATATATATCTTCTGCCAACATTTTTTAACATTCTGTTTCTCCTCATATAGGTAAAAAAGAATTGTGCTGACTGTACTGCATATAAAATATTTAACAAATGAAATCTGAACAAATTCTATATGGTATATTTCCATGCGTGAGGTATTTTCGGATGGTCATGGCCTTCAGGTGGACGTTCTCTAAAGAGATGCATTTGACACATAATTATCAGAGACTCTGTTGGCTTTGCTCGCACAGATAACCGTATATAAGACCCTCTACACCCCAAACCCCAACTCTAAACCTAACCCTAACTGTACAATCTACCTAAACAGTTACTTTTTTTTCATGTATGGCAAAATAACGGTGTTTCCCAAACAGCACCCTCACAATTCAGCCTTATATGAAATAAACAGGATCACTATTGATTTGAATGCTTTATAAGTTCTTTCAGCCTCTGGAAAATCTCTGCGGCACTGTATGTCCAAAAGTATTCAGATACCTTTTCTGATCACTGAATTCAGCTACGTTAAAGGACCCATATTATTTATTATATATTATTTATATGTATAAATTATTTTTCTTCTATTTACTTTTTTCCTTTGAAGTATACTTATTTTATCCACCAAAACCAGTCATAATTCATTTCTACATGACTACTTTGCAACCTCTCTTTACCCCACAGAATTATAAAGGCTGTTTTTGTAACTGTGCCTTTAAGACTGATATATGTAAAGGTATGTGTTCTATTTGGCTGTCATGTATTCAAAAATGCCTCATTTAAAAAGCAGACGGGATGAAACATTCTTTATAACTTTGATGCAAATGGGCACGGCTAAACTGCTATAGGTGGATTTACTGTCGTATACAAAAGTTTGGGCCCAGATTACATGTTTTGTTGATTTTCTAAATGAAAATAAGTGAACACAACTGCTACAGAAACACACTTCTGTGCATTTTAACACACAATTAAAATGAAACTAATTGGAGAAAAATAATACATCTAATGTGGCCTGGCACTTAGAAAGGCACATTTTAAATTTTGTGTTTTATTTTTTCCCCAGTATGTTAAATTTAGCAAATGCCTTGAAATTGTGCACTAAAACTTGTAGAAAAAGTTTGTTTAGGTTTGTTCTTTGTACACGCACAACTATTTACACACATAACCATTACTGCTATTGTATAGTGTTTTGTGTAGTTAGTCTGTATTTATTGTCTGTTTGTACTGTTGTCTCCAGCTGTTCTATGTTAAATGTATCACCGTGTCCTGCAGAAACTACATTTTATTCCTCTTTCAGCTCATCTACGATTAGATGAAATGACAATAAAGCTGACCTTGACTTCGAATGTAGTGTAAAAATATTTTTAACTTTTTTTAATTTAAAAATGTCATTCGATTTTTTGCATACAACTGTATGTGTTGGTTTTCATGACATCACAAAATCAGTGAATTCAAAACAGCCTGATTTTGTTACCTGGTGTCTATAAACTTGGATGTATCGTGTACATTTTGCGACTGTAAATATTTCTGAGGTGGTACTTAATCAACATTTGCATCTCCACAAAATTAATGGGTGCTTAATTTCTTGTAGCCTCCGTGATGTTCCTTTTTTCTGTAATATCACAAGATGGCGCATTAATCCTTTTGAAAGAAACGGTCTGGTGGACCCAACATGTCTCTGTGCTTTTTGATCATTAAAATATTCCAATATGTGCATACAGATATAAAATCATTGCAGTAGGTACATTGCAAAATATCTAAGCAACAAAAATTAAAATGTTTAAGGAGAAAAAGTTTTGATCTTACATATAAAATATCTCACTCATATTGCAACATAAAAACTGTTGCGGTTTTTACCGATTCATTCACCGTTTACACAATATACTATTCAGAAGTCACTATAATGCAATGATCTAACAGGACTGCATGGATTCCTCAGGTGTTCTGAATATTCTGTCTCTGACATCATCAGGAATTGTTAGGTAAGTATAAAATGTCTATTTATAACTGATGAATTTTTGCCACAGTTTGTGAAGAAAGTATTAACATTTTAATAGACAATCTGTAGTGTGCTTATGTGTATACATATATGTACATATACATTAATGTCAAATAGTCAAAAGCACCCTTTATTTTATTTCCAGTCAAAACAACCATTAAGTACAAGTTATTAATTTTTCAGTGTCAGAAAAACAGAAAACATTTAACAGAAAAATACACAAAGCATCCAACACAAGTATAATATAAAATCCATCGGAATTTCATTTGTGGACGCTTTACTTTTGCGCACCATACTGCTATTTCAAAGGTGAAACTAACATTATGTTACCTTTCAAAAAAAGCAACTACCCAAAATGACCCATTTAAAAAATGGGACTCCTGACAACCGTGTAAGACCTGGTAGACCACCAAAACTGTCCCCATCAGATAAACAGTACTTAAAGCTTTCATCTTTGAGAGGGAAAAGAAAATCTCAATTCAAAAATCTCCAATCATATTTAAGATCTGAAAAAATCCACAGATGTTTCAGCTCAGTGCTACGAGTCTGAAAGGCTGTGAAGCTGTCAAGAAGCTGTTCCTGAGAAAAAGAAACAGACACAAAAGAAGAAAATGTGCACTAGAACAACAAAACTGGGCATTTGAAATGTGGAGGTTTTATGGACTGATGAGTCTAAATATGGAATTGAGATTATTTGGATTGTAAGGCAGAAAATGCAACCAACTTCAAAGACTGAACTTTGGATGTGTGAAAAATCCCTGCAGTTTTCTTTGAAAAACTGAAAGCAAGTCTCCTAAAAAGAAAAGAATTTGTGACGAACGTAAAGAAGGGACACACTGACTACTGAGAAATGTGATCTTATATTTAGTTGTTGAGGCTTCTGTGTAATTTTCTGTTATGAAAAATTAATAACTTGCATTTATTAGCTGCTTTGACTGGAGATACAATAACTAAAGGAGTGGTTTCTCACTTTCGTACAGTCCTGCGTGTTGATGAAATTTCCCTTTATGAATGAAGGCAACATGTCTACATTGGTCCATTTCAGAGGTAATGTGTGCCAAGGCTTGAGGATTTATCTTAACACTGCACACTGTTAGTGGGCAGAGTGAATCTTCCAGTGATGCCTCTTTGCTTTTCCTTTTGAATGGCCCGGAGAAGACTGAACACCACACAGGCCAGCGTGTTCCTGCCTCCGCTATGGCTGGCCGTCCCTCCGCCTCCCGCAGGCCCGTTTCTTGTCCTTTGGCCCCTGTTACTGCTGATAAAGTAGGTTCGTAAACGCCCCTGGCGCTCGCTCACGCCCTTTATGAAGATCTCACCACGCAGCTCCAGCACAAAGCCCCAGTCTGCCAGAATTTTCTGGGTGGGCTCAGGTACCTGGATCCTCCCACTAATGCCTGTGCTGTCCATGCGGCTTGCCAGGTTCACCGTCATCCCCCAGATATCGTACTGTGGCTTAGCAGCACCAATAACACCCGCAACTACAGGACCATGTGCGATTCCTAATGCATAAATTAAGAAAGGCTGGCATCAGAGAGAAAGGTTGAAAGTACATTAAACTTATTATCATGTAATAATATATAAGCCATGATCAGGGGCGGTCTCTGCAATAGGCCAGGGGTCGGCAACCCAGATGTTAAGATAAGCCATTGCGTCTTTTAACAATAATCAAATCATCTTGGGATTTACTTTGCTCTATTTTAAGCTTTAGCTCAGCTATAGCTGCTTTTCTTGCTTGTCTGGCAGGAAACTTTTTTTTCACAAAAGTAGAACAGTCTTTTTGTAAAATGTCTTCCAACGTTCGATTTTTCATGAGGCTTAAGTCAGGTCCTCATTCGGCAGTTTCTTGTTTGAAGTTTTCTATTCTTCCTTAAATGGTGCCTGAATGTAACCGCTGCACCATTCAAGGTGGAACGGGAAAATTTTGAAACCAAGAAGCTGGTGAATAAGAGCTGACTTTAGCCTCGCGACTTTTTAGTGTTTGACAGTTTCTCTTTGCAGATTAAACATAACAGGAAACCAGATGGAGTGCTTAGAAATGCAAATAAATCTGTTCATTCGTCTCTAAATGTTTGATGTTCGTCTTAAATCTTTCTTTTCTTTGCCAGTTCGTTAGCTACTAGCTAGGTCTTACTGCTGTCTGGGTTGATATGTGACCAGTAGTCTGTGCACCAGTCTTCAGGTTTGAAGGGTTCATTAGCAGAACATTTATAAATAAACTCCAACGTTTAAGGCCATTTATTGTTGGACTGTGTGTGTTACAACTGTGTGTAAAAACACTCAGCAAAGATTTATTTTACTGCAGGGGAGCCACATGTTGCCAACCACTGTACTAGGCAAAAGTAGGCAGCCACCGAGGGCCCCAAACAAGCCAAGGGCCCCAAGAAAATACAAATTACATATGCTGTATGTGTTGATATTAAATAACCTATTCTGAAATATATACACATTTTAAAAATAGATGTTATTTGTGACTGTAGCAGTTATTTTTAGTAATTTCAATGCAGCCATGGTTATAATGGACTATTTCATGTTGATATGTGACAACACAACTGCGTAAAGACAGACTGGTATGAAGAATCCAATTAAGCGATAATTTACATCTCATACATCACATTTCTCTCTGTATTGGCAGATAATTTTGCTTGTTTCAAGCTTTATTTCTTAAACAACCACATCTGCCAGATTATTAATAAAACAATGTAAGTAGAAATATCTAGAAATAAGTTAAATAATCTTAACAACAATCTCAAAATGAGAAACAATTCACTTGCCAAGATATCATTTTGTGCGGTGTAGATGGTTATGCCACTCAGGAGCCCAGGGTCATAACTCATTTAAAATGTACATCCAGGAGGCCCCATTCCTGACCAGTGTGTTCTGTTTGTTTAACTGTTTTTATACCAATTGAGTAGTCTGAGGTTATATTTGTGGTACTGTATTTTTAGATTTATCTATTTTGTTATTAAAATAAGAAACTTACCGACACGGAGCTGGAAGCTGTTGGAGGTGTGTTTGTTAATTTCTCTTAGGGTCTCCTGCATTGCCATTGCGAACAGCACCAGCTCACTCAGGTGATGCCAGTTACTTCCACCACGAGTCTGAAGGGCCAGTTTGTTAACATGTATATCAATGAAAACAATATAAAGTTCTCATATTCTACTTTCATTTTAACATGACCAACTTCCAAACTCTCTATCTGTTAGAATTAAGTAGGCTTAAATAGGCTCTTTTTACAGCTTAGATGTGTCCCTTTAAGTGGAACCACTGATTTTCAATATTTTGGCATAGGTTTATTGTTGAAATACAATCACAGACATTCAGAGTGGTTTGATGTGAAATGTACATGCTCATTTTTTACAGTGCTGGTGACAGGAACCAGGGCTTGTGATATTAAATTTAAGATTAATGAATAATTCTGACTCTATAAGTTTCTTTACAAAGGAGCATTTCATGTCAAACCACTCTGAACAACTGAATAATCCAGAAATTTTGATAAATCAGTGGAATTCCCCTTTACATTCTGACTGACTTCCACAGAGACATTAAAAAACAAAATAAAAGCCACTCCTTTTGGATGTGTGGATCCTTTGGAAAGCTGCAATGATACATTTGATTACCAACAGCCAGGAAGAGCATAATGTTTTAGTATGAACCGCTACTTATGAAAATTTGGTTTCTTCAATTTCTCACAACACAAAATGCTTAGCCAGTATCGGGCTTCGAACAATTCATCCTACCGAAAATGTGCATATCTTTAGTACAGTATAATAACACAGTGTTTTAAATATTTTAATGTGATTTAACGTTAATTCAGTACAGCCTCAGCTTAATATTATTACTTACCCACCTGATAAGCTGATTTAGGCTATCAAAATATCCTAATCCTAACTTTAAATGATCCTGCAGTTACTGTCTGCGCCTGAGGCATTATAAGATCTGCTGCACTACTTAAGGTGGAACGAGAATATTCAAACAAGAAGCAGGCGACTAAGAAGCTGGCCTCCCTGCTGAAAAAGGACCCTTAGAAACCATTAGGATTCATGATTTTGCTTTCTAGTGAGAGTTGGCTTAATGGTTTCCAACAGAGACCACTAGTTTCTTGTAGAACACCTATAGATCTCATTAGGAAACCGTCATATGCATTTAGAATCAGCTGTTGTTCACGTGTAAAAACAATTAGGACCCTTTACATTGTGACACCAACCCATTACAAACCCAAAACATATTATAAAGCCATCAGGAATCAACAGATAAAAGCACATAAAAGTACATAAAACTTTATAAAATATCATAAGTGGATCTCTGAGAGAAAAAAATGTGAGACAAGTATGTAGGATCTGGGCCTTTTAGCAATCAAAAAGAAAGGGACTATAATTTTCCATCACAACTGTGTCCCTAACCCACCTCATGGGGATCTGCCTTTCAACAAAGTTCAGTTCCAACCCTAATCATTCACACCTGCCATACACAACAGATGGCTGACTTTCTTAGGGGTTTTTGCTTTAAGTTGAAGTTAAACTGGCTAGGAAGATAGATCCCCAGCAGGAGGGCTGATGATAAAAAATATTTATTCAATTCTGTCGTTTTCCCAAATTCCCAAAGTAAGCAGACAAACTGTGACTGACTTCTATTTGATATCAAATATGGCATTCAACAGTAAAATGACCACGTCTAAGCATGTTTGAGAATAGACGGGTTAAGATTTGGGTAACTAATTCATTCCAGATGACATTTATAACTAATCAAACCAGTAAAAGATCATCCTTAAGATGTTGCAACCGTCCTTCAAAGTCTCCCACACAGTCAGAAAATAATCAGTCATGTTTAAATTGTAGCTTCTGCAAACATTAAACTACTTTAAAGAAACCTATTAGAATCACCAACCTGTTTATCAGGTGATAAGCCAGATGCTGCCATGTAGCAGCTTCCAATTGTTTTGATTTTCTCAATATCCAAAAAATATGTCTCTTCCAGCAGCTGTCTCAGAGAAAGAGCCAGTAAAGAGAGGAAAACAGGACAAAGCAAATCAGATAAATCAATATTACACCACCTCTTCTGCTAGTGGTCTCGTCTTCTACCAGATGCTGTGGAGACCCTATTAGCCTCAGTGGAAACTGCTTGTTGGTTAGATAATCATAAATCTACAAATCACCTGTAGTGTATAAATCAGCTGAACTCACCTCATCAAAGTCAGTAATGATGTCATTGAGAAGCCTGAGAGATTCCACCCCCTCGCGTTTAATCTCTTTCTGCTCATAGTAGTCATTGAAGCCAGCGATGGTGGCAAACATCACCCCTACCTCATCATATGACTGGGCATACAGCTCCTGTACAAAGAGATACAGTGATACAAGTGCTACAAACGTTTCAAAGCGACGCAGTCAAATCGGTTCCAGCTCCTAGTGACGATGTGGTTTTGTGTTTCTCCAGAATATCCTGTCTTCTTTTAGGGTCTTTGGGCTTCTTATTGACTGCTTCATGATTCCTCTGATTTCACCAACACCAAACATTAAATACTTCAGTTTTTTTCCTGTCCCACTTTTTATTGTCCAGCTTTCACACCCTTAAAGAAGTATAGGTATGAACATTTTGTAGACACATATTTCAAGATCAATTATAATTAATAAAATAAGTAAAAAGTAAAGTTAGCAGTTGTTGTCGTTGTCAAATCCTTTGTTTTCTTCCATTTCAGCTGAAGTGCCATCAGTTTTTAAATTTCCTTACAAGTTTCCTTACAATTTTCTTACAAGTTCAGGTGTTCCTGATTTTCCACTATGATCGTTATGTTATCCTAATGTCAAAAGTCATTTCTTCTCCAGTCCTGCTTCTTTTTTTAATGCTCAGCTTATAGGTTAAACAAGTATGGTGATAGTATGCAGCCTTGTCTTACTCCTCTACGGACATGGAAACAGTCTGTTCTTCATTTCTGTCATGACTTTGGCTTGTTGATCAGTGTAGAGATTCCTGATTAGAACAATGAAGTGCTGTAGTGTCCCTATTTTCATGATAACTTTCTACAATTGTATCTCGTCGACACTACCAGAGGGTTTCTGTAGTTAATAAAACACATGTTGACTTCCTATTTACAGACATATACCAACAGCTCTCAATACACAAAATACACTTCCTGAGTATCTACATATACCAGCCACTTTATTAGAATAGTCAGAGACTGTTGTCCATCCAATATTGCTCAATTTATGTTACTCATCACCTAACCATTCATCAGAGGTTAGTTTCTGATCACAGAGCTGCTCTTGGCATGATATTTCTGAGAGGTGACCACTCTCAACCTAGTGGTGATATGGAGGTGTGCACATACTCCTAGTAACACTGTGTAATAGTAACACTCATACCAGCACAACACACACTACTATGTCAGCATCACTGCTGTGCTGAGAATGATCCACTACCAAAATGATATCCTGTGCTCAGAAACTGACCAATGATGAATGAAGTAGAGCAGTGGTCATCAATCCCACTCATGGAGATCTACCTTTCTGGAGGGGATTGATCAGCTAGGGTCTGGGGTTGGAGCTGAGGTCTGCAGGAAGATAGCGATGTTGGTGACCACTGGAGTAGAGGGTATGTATGGCAACAAATGGGCAACAGTCTGTACATCTACATAGTGGACTTATAAGATAGATGTTTTTAATAAAGTGGTCAGTGAGTGGAATTACAAAGTAAGTGTTTCTAACAAAGTGGACAGTGCGTGTACATTTTTTGTCAGGCTCATCATCATCACTGTAAATGGACAGGTGATAAATGGTTGATTTTATGCGTCGTGGCACCCCTTACATCATCATTTTTGTTCCTGTCCAGAAAGTGGCGCGTGACATGTGCGGGCAGGATGTTGTGCAGCAGACACTCATTGTGCTCCCTCAGCTCCCGCATGTCCTCCACTTCCTGCTGAGCCTGCAGACGCCATAAGAAGTCCAGTCTCGCTGTGGCCTCCCACTGGCCCAGCACCAGACAGGACGGAATAGTGGCAGGTAAGAAATCATATTGCATGTAAAAAGAACAGTTCGGTGAAAATGTCTTTTTACATTTTTCATTTTATTACAAATGCAGTCGTTTATAGTTTGTAACACTGTATGATATACTTTTATCTATAAACTGAGGGTCATACAGTGTCAGAAACCACGAAAGCACGTCTATTTGAGATTACTGAACAACTGAGGCAAGTCGGTGATGATGTTTAACATACTGGAGAAAAAATAATGATAAAATATGGCCTGTGCAAAAGTTAGGGCACATTTTATATCCTGTGTTTTATTTTATTGTATCTATTTATTTTTTGTTGAACTTGTTTTTTTCACTTACAAAATCAACAAAACACATAATTTGACCAGAGGTGTCCAAACTTTTGCATAGGACAGCATAACGGTGTGAATGAGTGTTGTATTTCCGCACTAAAATGTTGAGGCACTGTACCTGTCGGCCATTGTAGAACACAGCTATCACAAACATGGCCATTAACAGAATGGACACTCCCTTTCTCCTTAAGTAGTGAGATCTAGAAATGATACACATAATGTGTGTATTTGAAAACTTAAGAATATACTTATTTAAAGGATTTGTGAAAGTAAATTTTTTTCAGAATTCACATTTTTCAGAATGTTTTCACATATAAACCTACCTGAGCACTTGCTCCTGCTCCTGCTGACTGACATAAAGTGCATGGAAGGCCACTTCAACGAAGTAAGTGTAGACAGTAACCATCAGTAACAGAACAGTCAGCTTCAGCAGCGAACTCAGTCTCAGAAACACGGCACAGGTAACCATAGAGACAACCCCACTCAGTACAAAAAACTACAGAGAGAGAGAGAGAGAGAGAGAGAGAGAGAGAGAGAGAAAGAGAGAGAGAGAGAGAGAGAGAGAGAGAGAGAGAGAGAGAGCTGTACATGTTGAAAACACAAAATACTTTAATGCATTTATTTAGTTATGTCTGAGGAGTATGTCTTACCTCAGGATGGGTGCAGATGGTTAGGGTCATCTGACTGGACAGATTCACATTGTTCTTATCACCACTCTCTTCTTCTTTATCTATTAAGTTACACCAAACCTACACAATCACAGCATACGTAAAATGTGTGCTATGCCATTGTTTAGGAAACATAGGATATAAACACTGTAGACACTGTAGAAATAACTGATAGCAATCTGTTGGTATGCTTTCATTGTATTACAAACACACTGAATAAAGTGATACATTGAATTTACTTGATTTAAATGTTTAGCATATCCACATTAATAGAAAATATTACATAAAGTTTTTGCTAAAAGTCAGTAACTTAAAAGACCTTAAAACTTGCATCATAATTTCTTTTATTAATGTGGAAATTTGAATCATTGTTTGTTTGTGTTTATGTAAGTTTAAAAATACCATGAAAGTTTTGCTGTGGTTTGTGGCAGCTATCGTCAGCTTAGCCAAAAAGCTACAGTCCCAAACACGGCAAAAAGGTTTGATTTAGCCTTTTGTATCTTCAGTGCCAATTGCTCAACTTCAATACCAATGCGTGAGCATTTCTCTCTAAATGTTATTTAGCCCTCTTCCCAAATAAACGTATGTTACTAGTTCAACTCGTCTACAGTTCATTTTTCATTACTCAACCGTACCATCACATCTACAAATTCACAACATACTGTAATAGCAGGGCGCGACCTGGGGGAGGCGCTGCCTCTGCAGCAGAGGACCAGAGACCATTGTAGTCGTGCGTCATTCTGTAGTCCTCGTTATGCCCATATTAGGAACTCCGGGTCTAGCTCAATTTCTCTATGGCCAGAATGAATAGGGTTTTAGAAAAGTCGCCTCTATCGCACCGTGTGTTTAATAAAAATGTACAGACTCGATTCGTTTTATCCTGTGAACATTTTTCTCGGATACCACTGGATCCTCTGAATTACGAGGTCGTTAAAGAGCTATGATACTAATATTACTACATGTGAGCTAAAGCTACAGCGCATCAATTTGATGTCACTAAGCTACACGAAACTAAGGCGAGCTGCGCTACCTTATCAAAATGTTCTACTGTATCGCATAATTACAGGTAGACCCGTAAATAAAACCTCTAGGTAGGATATTTTGATAGGCTAAAACTCCTTGTCAAAAATACTAACGTTATCCGTGTTAAAACTACGAGGCTTCTTTTGCCGCAGCTTCTTGTTTGAATGTCCCTGTTTCACCTTGAATTGTGCAGCAGCTGTGAGTAGCCATCACAAACATTAGCAGACGAGACAAAATACTGACCTGTCGGTTCTGTGAAACAGCAAAAATATGTTAACGTTACTCTGTTAAGCGGAAATAGAGAAACCTCTTCATATCATGCCTTTCTACCCTCCACGAAGCTGAAGTTAGCTTCTTTTTCGCCGACTGCTTGTTGGAATTTTCCCGTTCCACCTTAAATGGCGCAGCATTTCAGAAGGTGACTGCTGCACCGCTTAAGGTGGAACGGAAAAAGTCGAAAACAAAAGCTGGCGAATGTCCTCAGAAAAATGTTACCAGCATTAAAATAATAATTAGGATATTCTGATAGCCGAAATAAGTTTATCAGGGGGTGATACCTGTTTAAGGAGGCTGCCAGTCTAATAACTTAGCTCATATTCATATTTCAACACTTTAACGACCTCGTACTTCAGAGGATCCAGTGGTATTCGAGAGAAGAATGTTCACAGGACAAAACGTATCGGGTTCTGAACATTTTTATTTAACACAGGGGGCGATAGAGGCGACTTTTTGAAAACCCTATTCATTCTGCCCATAGAGAAATGGAGCGTGGACCCGGGGGTTCCTAATATGGGCACAAGAACATGGCGCGGACTACAAAATGATGACACGACTACAAAATGATGACACGACTACAGTGGTCTAGAGAATATAAGGTGAAAAGTGGAAGCCCTGGCTCAGCCAACCATATTAGACCTCGTAAATTCGGAGGGTTTCTGGTTTTACTCGCTCTGAGTAACGTGAGTCGGCAACCGCAGAAGCTGTAACAGGATTTTGGCTTAAAGCTCACTTTAAAAGTAAACACTGACCCTATTCAAAATCTATGATATACAGAGTGTAACAATAAGTAGTTAACTACAAAGTGAAGAGACCCACCTATAATATGGATTTGTGGCAAATTATGGTCAGTATAGCTGGATATTGGGTTTTTACTTGCTTGTTTATTAGCTAGCTAACGCTGGGTTTACGTGAGGCAAAGGAAAGAGGCTAGGCTAACACTAATATTAACTAGTTAGTTTAGTGATTAGTGACAAGTTGAAGAATTTGAAAAAACTTTACTTCGTAGTGAGAGTTTGAGAGTGTGAACGAGCGACAGAGATAGAGATAACAATAATGATAGCCACTCATATTCTTTGTTTTAGCTGATATTATTTCTGTGAATTTGGAAACAGTGACACCAATATTTTCCATTAATTATTTACAGTACTTTTAATGTCAGTGAAAAGGTCATATAGTCTTGTTCATAATGCAAGTCACACTATTTCTGATGGTATCAACTGAGACTGAACTGATCTATAATCTGTGTATATTAAGAATATATTTAAGACCTTATACAATACCTTATATTAGACCACATACTCTAAGAGAGAGGAGAGAGCCAATTTGACCAAATAGCCATTTTTAAAATAAATTTTCTGCCTTTTGCTACTCTAAATGTATCAACAGACATTTTAGGACCATCAAAAAATTCACCCCCAGACCCCCCTAGTACTAGCTTAGTCCCCCTATCCATTAACCTCTAGTGACACCCCTGTCATATCATATTTGAATGATTCTCATCTGAAGTGTCACTGCTTTAAGCCAGAATCAAACATGTTCTGTGGTGAGCAGAGCTGTGATCAAGCTAATGCTAAATATCACCAGCTGATGCTAACCAAGTTACTGTGTTCACTTAAGTCAGCTTCTAAGCAAACTAAACTATTTGATTTTTTTCAGTATTGAAGTAACGCAGGACAAGATGGCAGAAAAGTAACATAAATGCTTCTGTGTGACTTATAATGCTTTAACACAAATGTGAATGGGAAATCATTGCAATTTTCTTCTGTACCGTGATGTGTTTGGGATTCATACACGGCACCAGAGAGGGTCTCTGATCTAGCTATTATTGGTTAATATTATGTTGGTGCATGGTGATATAATCAAAATTCAGAAGACGTTTCATGCGGGCAAAAGTCATTACATTTTGATCAAATAAAATGGGGAAAAATGTGTGGTATGGAATGATAAATCATGTTTAATATGACCACGTAAGTGAACTAACAAGGTGAAAAAAAAGATCATTTTGATTTCAGGTGCATGATGTGAGATCATTAAGGAAAATGGGACGTGGCATGAATTAATATGAGACAGTCTCTAGCTCCAGGAAGGTGGTGTTAGGCCTCACCATGTCAGCAGAAGCCATGCCGAAGTTAATGGCTATAGCAGTGATGGTCAGCAGGCTGCGCATGCTGTTGTTTTCATGGATCCAGCAGCAAAGTTGCTGCAGGACAGCAGGAGAGCGCTTAAACTCCTCAGACAGCGCCATCACCAACAACAGCAGATAGCCCAGCAGCACCAGACTGAACTGGATCACGATGGGATATAACCTGTAGGGAAGGAACGAGGAGAAATTGAAGGCAGATACAAGATAAAACGGACGATTTTGATTGGAACACATTAAACCCTGCAGAAATGCTGACTGGTATTTGGTTGGCTGTTTACCTGGGTGCAGGGATGAGAGTCTGGACTGCCATGAGGAAGAGGAACATGATGAAGGAGCACACCAGGTTGGTCTTAAAAGTTTCATCTCTAATTTGTGAAAACTAAGACATGAGAGTAAAGAGAGGAAATGAGCCTCAACATAATTAGGAGCCTGACCTTATTTATTTATTTTTTGTTATTTTTCTTATTATTGTTCTTATCATTACTGTCATCTCAAAACCTCTTTTTTATGCCATTTGAAAACATCAACCATTTACAATGTGTAAACATTTTTGTTAAAATACGCAATACTGAGCTACATTTGTGTAAAAATTCCTCATTCCTCAGCCTCACCAGGTTGATATAATTCACAGTTCTGTACTGTTTTCAAGTTTCCATTCATCAATTTTCTCACTACAATACCCAGAATGCATTACACATGCACATGATGCAACTTTGGGAATCCCTGTGGTGTTAACCCATCCTGACTGCTAGCATAGTCACTGATCTACAGGCTAATAAATACAGGCAAGCTTTTCAGATAACATACGTTCCTAGCATAAGTTTTTCTCCCACTCATCTGGCAAGTCATTTCTATTGTTTGTGTAATCCATTGTGATGATTTGAAGACGGGCAGAGCTGTTCAGTTCCAAATATATATTTGGTTTTCTAGCAGTACCATTTTCTATCTACCTTCCTTCTTCAATCACGAGTTAATGGAAAAAAAAACCTGGCGTAATAGCCCCCCAAAAATCTACCCCAAAACAGTAGATTTAAAGGTTCCTCCCACCTTCAAAGTACATCATCAGAAGGGGAATTTCCTAGTGTTTCTCACTCTAGAGACTACTGTAGCACTGCTGTAGGCATGTTAACAACAGATGCACAGATGGTTACATTTTTCATTTTGGTCAGAGTGTAAAGTTTTTCTGTGGGGTAAATATAGTTTTATGCAAATTTTGGGCACCCCTGATTAAATTACATGTTTTGTTGATTTTCTAAGTGAAAATAAGTTAACATCCTCTCCAGAGAGCACACTTCAGCACATTTTAATACACAGTTGCTGATTGTTTGCTTAATATAATATTGGAGAAAATATATTGTGGCCTGTACAGCAGTTATGGTACCTTTCATATTTTGTAGTTTTATTTTATTTTGTATGTTTATGCTTTGTATATTTTATGTTATGGCACATTTTAATTTCAGGCTTTTTCCCAATATGTTAAACTAAATAAATTGAATTTGTGCACTAAAAATTGCTGAAATGCCATGTTTAAGTGTGTTTTCTGTACAGCGTGTATTAACTTATCCTCACTTAGAAAATTAACAAAACATGTCTTTTGACCAGGGGTGCCCAAAGTTTGCCTACTACTGTATAAAGTTACCATTTTAGAGATGTTTTGTTATGACAGCAACATTAAATTTCTTGTGAAGATGAGCGATAACTACCTTCTCCTCAATGTGTGTGTCCTTGAACACCAGTGTGGCCGCAGTGATGTGCTCCTGCCTCATGCGCTCACTGCTGCGCAGGTCAATGGCGTGCTCGATCCGTTTATTAATCTCCTTGGAGCTGGAGCGTCGGTTTCTTGAGTTCGGCAGCTGCAGTAAGGAGCCGTTAGTGAATGAAGCCAAAATCTGTGAGAATTAAATATCATCATCATCCTCATCTTTATCAAAGTTTTCATTTAGATCTGCACCAGGGACTGTTGTGCGGTCTTGTGTCTCAACACCCAAGCCCTTGAGCAGTGTTGTTTACCATATTAGTCAGGATTAATATGTGAATAGTTACACATTATGAAAAGAATTATGAATTGTATTACAAATACATTTTTTGGGGAATCCTTTTTTGAGCTTTCCTTAGCAGTGAAATCGTTTTGGGCTATCTTGTTTTTAGGTTTGCAAGAGATTTAGCTTTTACAGTACTGTGCAAAAATTAGATTATGTAGTTTCCAGACAAAATAGCAGTTAAGTGTGAGTTATTCATTTTTCAGTGACATGTAAAAAAAACAGAAAACATATAAATAATAACGTGTGCGTGTGTGTATGTGTATATATATATATATATATACTCTAGTTTTGGAAACTCCTGTTTTTCAGTTATTTTCCTATTTTCCTAATTTTCCCCATCCTTATGTAAATGAATGATCTTATATCTCATCTCCTCAGATGTATCTTCTGAAGAATGAATAACTTACACTCAATGGCTGTTTTGACTGTCTCTGATTTTTGCACAGAACTGTGTTATTTCAACAACATGTTGGTAGTGGAATGCTGTTTGATCTTTCATTGGCATTGATTTGTATCTTTCGTTAGTTTTCAAATCATCTTTAGAAATTCAACATTCAGAAACATTTAGCTCTTATATTCTAGTCTATTAGACTTTAGAGTTTCTTACACAGTTCATTTCAACCATGTTGCCAAAGGGAATATTCGTGTTCCAGGTGCGACTGGTGCGTATCTTGTGAGGCTCCGCTTCCACTTCATCGAGCTCCTCCTCCTTGTGGCAAATGAGGAAAGTGTCGATGTTGTGTTTTCGCAGAAACTCATTGCGTTCATAACCACGCCCATCCTCGGTTTGGTAGTTCCCTTCCAGACAGTCCAGGGTGGCTCGTGAGATGTGGATACGACTGATAACAGAAAAAACAATTATGCAAATCATTTTGTTAAATAGTAAATGACTTACACTGTTTAACAAATTTGAGGATCAGTTAGGTAGATAGGTTTATGTTTTAAATTGTCCTACTGTGTTATTTTCTATTTTTCTTTGCTTTTATTTTCTCTTAGTTTCTTTTTGTTTTTCTTTTATTTTTTGCTTGTGTTTTGTATGACTTGTTTCATTGATTTTTATTGCACTATTTTGTAATGTATGGAATGCCTACTGGATCCCAGGAAGAATAGCAACTATCATGATAGCAGCTAACGGGGATCTTAAAAATAAACAATTTGCTTTCTTTATTTACATGACCTCATTACCTTGGAATTAACCTCAGTGGCTCTGACTCTCAACCTTATTCCGCATATAGTGTAGCTTAAGCCTTTGTTGTTCCACTTGAGATTTGTTAAGCTGGTTACTTTTTCTTTTTGAGCTAGACTCTATTTATACTCTTGGATAAGTACTGATGAGGATCTTATGCAGTTCACTAACTGGGCTTTGACTTAATTAAGGACTTCAGTCTGTCTACCTGTAAATCTCTACTTCACCTCTCTATGGAGACTCAGACATGATCAGACCTCTTAGCCACACAGTTAATTCTGGTTTATAGGATGTTTCTGTGATTTCATGTTTTGTTACAGTCATTTTACTTATTTTAGACTCACCCAGGGATGCCCCCTGCTTCTAACATGTTAGCAATGCCCACGTCCCAGGACCACACATCAAACTGCCACTTCTGCAGGCCCAAAACCCCGCACAGAACCGAGCCTGAGTGGATCCCAATCCGCATATCCATGTCATGGTTCAGCTGCTTTCTCACATACCTAAGAGCCACAACAGAAGAGAAAACCTAGATTTTGGATCAATGTTAGTTCACTTTAGTGGGAATGCTGAATTATCTTGAATAACAATTTAAAAAGTACTTTAAATGTCCGACACTTTGACTTTGTTGTGTGACGGGGCAAGATGTCTGATGTAAAGCTTATATTACATAGTTTGATCCTGCCCTAACCACAGCTAATAATGTGTGGGTTTGTCCAGTGCTAACCACAGCCTACGGTGCATGAGTTAATATAACCCTAATCACCTCTGTAATGCATCAATTAATATAATCTTGACCACCCCTATAATGCATGATTTAGTATAACTCTAACCACCCCCTTAATGAGAGAGTCAGTATAACGCTAACTACCTCATAACACTTGTTTGTATAACCTTAACCACCCCTATAATGCATGAATTAGTACAACCCTAATTAACCCTTTAATGTATGAGTTAATATGATACTAACTACCCCCTGTAATGTAACCTTACCACCCTTATAATACAACCCCTTTTCAAAAAAAAAAAAAGTTGGGATGCTGTGCAAATTGTAAATAAAAATAGAATGCAATGACATGCAGATCATGTAACTCCTGTATTTAATTGAAAATAGCACAAAGACAACATATCAGATGTTGAAACTAAGAAAACTATTGTTTTCTAAAAAAATTATACAACCATTTTGAATTTGATGACAACAGCACGATTCAAAAAAGTTGGGACTGGGGCATGTTTACCACTGTTTTGCATCACCCCTTCTTTTAACAGCACTCTGTAGGTTCCCACTCTGTGGGAACTGAAGAGACCAATTGCTTCAGTTTTGAAAGTAAAATGTTTTCATGTTCTTGCTTCATATAGGATTGGATTTTCGCTGCTCAACAGCTTGGGATCTCCTTTGTTATATTTTTCTTTTCATAATGCACCAAAATGTTTTCAGTGATGACATGTCTAGACTGTAGGCAGACCAGTTTAACACCTGGACTCTTTTACTATAGAGCCATGCTGTTGTAATTCATACCATAACGGATGCTGGCTTTTAAACTGTGTGCTGATAACAAGTCGGATGGTGCCTCTCCTCTTTAGCCCGTAGAACGCCGCGTCCAAGATTTTTAAAAAGAACTTCAAATTGTCCATCTTAAATGAGCTTGGACCCAGAAAAGGCGGCAGCGTTTCTGGATCCTGTTTATGTATGCTTTCTTCTTTGCACGGTAGAGATTTAACTTGCATTTGTGGACGCAGCGATTAACTGTGTTCACAGATGGTGGTTTTCAGAAATGTTTCTGAGCCCATGCAGTGATTTCCACTACAGAATCACAGCTGTTCTTAATGCAGTGCTGTCTGAGGGCCTGAAGATCATGGCCAGCAAATACTGGATTTTGGCCTTGTCCTTTGCATACAGAGATTCCTCTGGATTCCCTAAATCTTTCAACGATATTATGCATTATAGATGATGAAATCCCCAAGTTATTTGCTGTTTTACACTGCAAAACATAATACTTGAATTGTTGCACTCTTTACCTGTACAGACTTTCACAGAGTGGTGAACCCCTCCCCATCTTTACTTCTGAAAGACTCAGCCTCTCTGGGATGCTTTTTTATACCCAATCATGTTACTGACATGCTACCAAGTAACCACCAGGTGTGTTTTTTAGCATTACACAACTTTACCAGTTTTTGTTGACATTTTCGACAAAACAATAAAAGTTTTAGCATTTGATCTGTTGTCTTTGTGCTATTTTCAATTCAATATAGGATTTAAATGATTTGCACACCATAGTACTCTGATTTTATTTACATTTTGCACAGCGTCCCAACTTTTTTGGAAATGGGGTTGTACAAAATGTTATTCGGCGCTTGCATGCAATTACATGTCTCAGGTCTCCATATCCACAAATCTTACACAGCGTAGCTTTAATAAACTGCTGACGACCTCCCTCTAATGCATGAGTTTTTAACCCTAATCACCAAAAATCGCGTCTTTTGATTTAGCACAGAGTGATGCCTCCAGATGTTCCAGTTTTGTACCTTATTGTGCCGATCATAGCCAGACCCATCTCTACACAGCAACGAGCGTGAGCTCTCTGAGGCTCTGGCACTCCAGACACACAGTAGTAACAGTCCCCCAGGATCTTTATCCTCAAGCAGTGGTGTTCCTACACACACACATGTACACTTATTAGTGATGGTAAGTTCAATTTAGTTTACCGATTTGATTCTCTGGTTTTGATAAAACAAGTGTTCAGATTAGCCTCTCATTGATTCACAATGTTTAAATGTTTAACATTTTCTTAATGTGATACTTTATGAGACTAATCTATTAAAAATCATTTGACTGCGTGTAAACATTGTGCAGATGGTGCAAAAGGTTTGATTCAGTTGATTAATTGAAAAGAACCAGTATAAAAGAACAACTACTGCTATGTAGTTGTTTAAAGATTCTGTTTGCCCCATATATAATTAATTATTCTTTTGTTATGTTTACCCAAGCATTTACTAAACTATCATTCTTGCATATAAAATAATTTAATTGGGTTGGAGGACCATTGATGTTGCTGAGGGCCCTAATATGTTCAGAAATGGCTCCACGCTATGTAGTGCAGCCACGGCGACACTTTATTTATTTAAAGTGAGTTGTCTCACCTCAGCTAGGCGGTCAAAACGGCAGAAGAGCTCATTGAGGGTGCGCACCAGCTCCTGGGCAGACATTGTCATGGACAACAGAGTAAATCCCTTTATATCAGCGAACAGGATGCTGGGAAGAAAGAAAAAGGAGTACAAAACCACAGAAGTTAAGAGTAAAGAAATGCAGCAATCATTTCCCACAGTTATTTTTCTCTCAGTAATCTCTGTGCAACCACCATATATGATACCATGTACAATATGTACAGAATATTATACAGTCGAGTTTTAACACCACGTAGTCAAATTACGTTTTGTTGATTTAAATGAAAATAAGTTGACATTTTCTACAGAGAAAATGTTTAAATATGTTTTACATATGCCATTTCCCTGACATTTTAGTGCACAAATTTTATTTATTTACTGAGTTTATCATGTTGGAAAATAAAAACAAAATATAAAATGTGCCATAGATTTTTAACAGGCCATATTTAACCAAGTGCGGTCGGACTTGCTACAATTTACGATATATCACTCAATAACAGTTTACAATATATAACTCAATAATTATATTTAACCAATGAGTGTATAGTTGCTTTAAATAAGACTCAATGGCAGCGCACTCCACCAAATATCAGTGTGGTGTTAGGGTCCAGGATTAGAGGGGATGGTTTGGCTACCTGACGTCAGTGTAGTGATGGATGTAGATCTTATGGAACTGCTGAGGGAGCAGCTCACTATCCATGGCAGTCATATCAGCAATCATCTCAAAGGCAACAAAGCGAGGCAGTATAGACAAGACCAAACGCTCCTATTGTAGAAAATAATAATTTATGTTTAGGACTATCTCTCTCTCTTATTATCTATAACTATTTTACTCTCTCTCTCTTACACACATGCTTACAGTCACTGAGTTGATGTACATATTATGTATACCAATACATATGTGTACCAACACAGGATCGACTCCAAACCCCTGAGTGCTTCCTTACTTGTCTCTGGTTTTCTGTCTCCAGCTTCATGCGGCCCTGGATGCAGCGGCGTGTTTCAAGGAAGGCCTGTCTCTGAGCTCGGTCCGTCAGGTAATGGATGAAAAGACCTGCCGTGTTCATGCTTATGTACAGCAAGGCCTTTGCAAGAATCTATAGAGAGAAGAACGTGAAGTCTAATGAATAATCAGACTGAATGTTTCCTTCTCTTCAGTGTAAGTCACTATTAAATTACTATCTGCTGTCTAACCAGGAAGGGGTTTGGGGCAGCATTTTCACGCATCAGAAAAAACTAAGGGACATATAAGGCGAGAAATCTACTGTAGAGCTCCTCTGGGTGGGAGACAATAGGGCATAATAGTTTATGGAGCATTGCGCAACAGGCCTGTATCTAACTCGAGCTACCAGTCTGAGAATCTTCTGCAACATGCAAACTGGCCGTTGCATTTTCTCAAGGTGTTTCTTGTGCTTTAATGAGAGCACTAACTGCCTAATTTTGTGTACTTGAGCTACATGGAGTTTTGTCCAGTCCTTAAGGGGATGACCACATTTTAGTGTCTTCTATTTCCTTATACATCTGAGCCAGATCATCAGCATTTTGCAGGGAATCATTACGTTGTTATTGTGTGTTTGAAGCTGGAACAGAATAAAAATGTGGACTAGCTAAGGGACCCTGAGGACTGGATTAAAAACAACTGATGTAAGTGACACCCACAACTTTAGAGCAGAGACAACCAGAGAGCAACAAGTCAATGGATCACTGGGATTCAAGCTCAGGTGCCAGTAATAGGACCTAGCCCTCTTTGCCAGTTGTGCCTCTTAAAACCCTCAGACTGAATTTCTACCAGAGAAAACCTGACATTAGACATCCAACCATCCATCCATTCATCCTTCACCTTTCTCAGCAGTCCCACTTCATTGAAGTTCCGTGCTGTCTCCACAATGAGGTGCAGTGTGGAGGTGAGTGAGCCAGCTGCCATGGCCCACAACAGTGGCAAAGGGAGAAGAGTGTACGTGGCAAACAGGGTGAACAAAACATACCACGATGGGTCATTCTCCAGCCCGTACCCGAGCCCACCCAGAACCTGAGCGGTCTGCGACAGCCAGCTGGCTATGCCAGCGTAATGCAACCATTCTGGGGAATGTGAACGTTTACAAGTGAGCACAAGAACACAAAGCACCAAAGCAAAGGCCAAGAAAACAGCAGTGAGGCAGCCACGCAGCAGGTCTGAGCCGTCTGGCACCAATGCCAGGTACAGGACCAACAAGTGAAGCTTGGCAGCGGCATCTAAAATGTTGGTGACCACTAGTGAGGTGCGTCTGGTGTGTGAGGAGTGGCGATGGTAGAGCTTCTCCAGGTCTCGGGATTTGAAGGTGTGCCTCAATGTTGGCACGTAGACCCCATGAATGGTGCGACCCCAGCGCACAAAAAAGTCTGCGTCGCTGGCGTAGTCAGCCAAGATCCCAGCCTGCGTGCTGGCGGAGCTGCTGCGCTCTCCAAAAAACGATGGATGAATACGGGCAACGGACGACCGTCGTTTGGTCATGCCACGGGATGCTTTATTGCGGATCTGGCGGTTGATCTCTTCAATGTACGCATCGGTGACGTAAATCTTGTGGGCCGGCTCCAGAACGTATTGCTCCCTTAGCTGCCGCTGGCTGATGATGTGCTTTACAGCGTTCTGCCACATCAGCTTCTTGCGTCGCAGTCTTGGTGACAGGGGCACATCCAGATGGGATGGGACCTGCATCTTGTGAAGGTCACGGGGCTCATTGAAAGTTACCATTGCATCTTTCTGGTCCCACCATCACAATGACTCTAGTGGCAGGAGAGAGAGGAACACCTGTAAAAGACAGACAAGAACAATGAAATAATTCTGTAGGAAAACAGAATACAAACAGAAGTTTACTGGACCAGGGATCTCTTACATTGGATATGCTTAGGTGCTACAGTAAGGCAGTGAAAGATAACAAATATTTCAGGTTTCTGTTTAAAGCTGTTTAAAACCCAGGGTTGATGACTCTGTTTTAAGTAAGTATACACCCATTTCTAAATTAAAATGTCTGAAGATTTAGAGAAATACTGTCAACAATAATTAAAACTACAGAGGCATACAATTTATTTTAATATTTTCACTGTGATTTCTGCCAGGATCACAGTTGTGAAACAGCTCTTCTGAAAGTGACAAATCACTTATTCTTGAATGTTGACTACATTAATTGTTTGGTCAACAACAAATAGCAAACCAAATTCCAAAAAGACTGGGATGGCATTCACCAACCATTCTTAGGCAATTTTCATGAAGATTCTGACATTCACCAAGGTGTGAACAATTCTGCAGTTTAGGAACACGTAATAAATCTGATCTACACTTTTTCTTAGGACGTTTCTCAAGAATAAATTTAAGAAAAAACTTATCAAGATATTGGTGAATGGGGCCCAGTGTTTTTGTAAATTGTACTATTTGATTTGCTGAGGTCTTTAAAAGGTAATAAAAACTGAATTTGTTTCTAAAAAGTGTGCAGCAAGCCTTATATATGGTTCTGTATCTACTTTTTTGTCATTTCTTCATATGTGAATTATCCAGTCACATAGCTGTGGCAGTCTCATTAAAAGTGAGGCAGAGGCTCTGAACCCCTCTGAGGACAGAATAGAGCCACCTGTGATGTCATTAGGTGCTGTGAGCCAAGTTGCCAGATTTAGAACTGAGCTCATTAGCACAGATAGCAGCTAAAAGCAACCTGTGTCACAAGGCTGCCGTTCCACGACCGGCCGGTCTCCACTGCCTGAGGAAGAATCGACCCTCAACACCCGAACATGAACATGGTGGATGAATTTAGTGACAACTGTACAGTAGACATATGGAGAGGAATTTGTGAGGAATTGAAATGCAACCCCACAGTAGAAAAATGTAAAATGCAGTGCACACATGACATTACTTTTCCATAGAGACACGTGGAATATGTGCCAAAATTAAAAGCAAAATCTTTTCTTACATTGTTTTCGTGTCACTTGACCTCTACTGAAAACGCACTGCACAAGGATTTGCATTTAAAAATGCAAATTGAGTACAATCCACCTTGAAATGTAATCAACACATAACTAAACTGTAAAAAAAAAGATGTAAAAGTCTAGCAGCAGGGCATCCAGACAAAAGCTGTTAATTACCAGTAAAAGTATGTTTTCTCAGTGACGTAAAAACCTGTAAAATTACAGTCATTTCTTAGAAATGCTGTCTTTTACTGCATTTCAACATTTGAACTTGTTCAAGTAGTTATTCTGATATACAGTATTTTACCATAACAATAATAACAGTAGCAACCATTGAATATATACAAATATCTGTGAAAGAAAGGTGATCATTTGTTTTTGTGAGTTTACATTCTATTTCTGTAAATTAACAACAGCAGTGTTAAAACACAGTATATGTATAGTTTATTTACATGCATTTAACCTTTTTTTGCAAAAAATGGGTATTGACCATTAAATCTTACATTTCTTTGGCAGTGAAAATACTTTTTTACAGTATAATTTGCTTCAACTGTACGATACCTCAGACACTGCTACAACACTGCAATTTCTCAGTGAGGCATATATACCTATAGCAATTTGTTTTTTAAATGCAAATCCTTGTGCACTGATTTTTAGCAAAGAGGTGGAGACAATGCATTGCTTTTAATTTTGTCGTACATTCTGCCATTAATTCCTTTCCATAGTAAACACCATGTCAGTAGTTAGCACTGCAAGATCATATGGAATGTTGTGAAATACAAAAGCACAGACCTACAATAAACTACAACAAAGGTTAACCTGCTGATGCATTATTAAAAAGCATCACATGGTGCATATTTTATATTGTTTTTTTTTAACCAGTCAGTGTCTTACGTGTTGCTGCAGCTGCCTCAGATTCAGTTGCTAATTTAAATACAAAGAACTGAAAAATTAAAATGAGCAACTGAGCTACTCACCATCGTGCTAGGCACTTACTACGCTGCATTGTTCAGTATTCTTGTAAATCCGCCTGTGTATTTCCATGAGGAATTCTTGGCCTCAGTATTCAGCCTTCTACATGCTATACTGTAATCCACAGTGCTCTCCTGCAGTAGGATGGAGATGGGCAAGAAATTCATCTAAAACTTTGAAAACCATTCACTGTGAATATATATATATATATATATATATATATATATATTTTTTTTATTTATCAAAGAAGAAAATGCTTTTCTCTCTCGGCCAGCTGAGGAGTGACGAGTGGATTGCTAGAGAGTAGAGAAGACAGAAGCCAAGTTGACAGACTCAAATAGGATTACTTACTCAGCAGTGATGCTCCCTCTCTTCAGAGCGTCTGTTGCTAACGTCACAAGATGCAGAGCAGTGTAAACATGACGAGATGAATTTAAGAACCACATACAGAGAAGAGATCTTATGTGTCTTAAGGGTCACATTGGGGACACAATGCCTAGAACTGTCCTTGACATACTTTTGTCTACCATTCAGAGGTCAGTCAAAGGAGATTCATTTGAAGTTGCTTCATAAACCATTATGGAGATGTTAATAATCTTGGCTTTAAAGTGTAAATTAAAAACAGGTTACTTATAATTTCCACAAGGATAGGAGCAATTGGACAGCATTGCTAGTCTGTTTGTATAGCTAACTGTAGCTCAAGTGGCTCAAACAATACAGTACAATACAGTACTAAACAACCAAAATGAAAAGCAAAAATTAGTCCTATAAATGAGGTTTTCCGTTCATGAGGGAGACTAAGTAAAGGGGAGGGGTGAAGGATTTGCCGATTTGATGAACTAAGCTGGGCCAGGCAGCAGGCTCAAGACGTATTGGCCATAAGCTGGATAAAGCTCTTGGGCCTGGATTTGCTATGATGCCATAGGCTTGCGAACTGGTGTCCACACTGGTAAATGAAAGAAGAGTTTATTTTCTACTGAAAAATCAATAAGTCAACTAAGAACCATTGTGTATTCCCACTCTCACTTAGTTAAGGTTGAACTTCTAAGTCGGACTGCCCATTTAGACTATGATCTGGTTACAGCTATTAACTAATGCCGTTAAACCTACGAGGAAAATATAACGTCACATATTACAATGTGTGTTTGGAGAGCAAGGCTTGAAGAGACAAGACTCTGTTTTTATTTGGAAATGAGTTCCGCAGCACAAAAACCACAAAGTTTTCCCTGATTTAACTTACAACTAGCTTAACTAACATGTAAGTTGAATCAGAGATGTTAATACAGAAAAAACATTAAACTCTGAAGTGCTGTGTTGCTTCTGTTATAGTCTTTGTCAGTCTGGCCTGCACAGAAATCTGATATATGGCAATATATGGATTTCAAATATATGACATATATTAGCATATATGGATTCCCCTTGTATCCAACTTAGATCAGTCACATATATATGTGATATATGTGTCAACTTATTTTAAATTGTCCATTTTCAAATATGGGACATATATTTCAGTCATATATCAACATATGTAAATGTATATGTGTAGCACATACATTTAAAAGCATTAATCATTTGCAGGTGGCATATATTACTCATGAATTCCTTATGTTATACAATGTAATGTTTTTAATTGCATGTATATCACTGGTGTATTTTATTTTAATTGCTTAAAAAGACTGTTGGTGTTTGTATCGGACATATATGCATGATCCAAGTATCAGATATATCTCTCAGACGTAGACAGAGTATAAATATGATCCATATATTATGCATGTATGTTTTCACTCACCTATCAGGCATATATGTGTGGCCCATATATTATGCATATATGTCCAAGAATTGATACTTATACATATTGTATTTTTGAAATATGCTTGACCCTTATATATATATATATGTGTGTATATAAGGCCATATATCAGATTTCCGTATGGGTGATCTAGCAGGATCTCAAAAGCATTAGCAGTGGTAGTTTGTCACTAATGGGATTCCAAGCTCTCAACTAATTCACACACATGATTCAATTCATCCCCTAATGCTAGGCTAATTCTAGCCCAAACACCTAGCCAGGCATCCTGCTAATGCTACAACACACTATCTATTAGTGGCACTGGCCTAGCCCCAGCGGTGGTAAATAGTCTGGCGTTATTACTGTCCGTGAAAAACCAAAACAACAGCCTGTCAGGAAGAGTTTAAGCTCTTAATGCAATTAATCCTAATATTTGGCAAGTTAGGTGGAGTTGTTTTTATTTAGCACCAGTCATACTAAGAGTGAGCTTTTGGCAGACAACCACTGTGCAAGAAATTATTCATTAAGTGGAACATATGGAACTTGGGCTGTTTCCCCACAGCATCATATAGAGCATGTTATTACAACTGAGGAAGAAAAAGAAGAAGAATGTCACTATTTATTTCTGCATGTTCAGTTAGTGTGATGTAATGAGATGTAAACAAAATAGTTTAGAGTGGTTTGATGTGAAATGGTGCATGGTAGAGGAACTTAAAGACTCAGATTTCAGTGGTGGTGGTGAGAGCCAGAGATTGCAATGTCAACAATGCAAAAATAATTGTATTTGCTGTCCACAATATGGCAGTGGACCTACACATACCTTTTGAACTTTTATATGTAATGTTAATAATGGTACATTAAAGGAAAAAAGTTTTCTATGCTTTCTATTTTTCCTTACAATGCCCTGGATGTACCTCTCTGTCATGACTGGATTTACAAAAACAGTTTGTAAAACAATGTCTCAGGCATCAATCAGCGTGTTCCATTTTGTGTAATAGCTCTGTGTGAGGGAGCTTTTAGAGGCATTCATCTCTTCAGGCATCTGGCTCATATCACCACCTGCTGAATGACTTAATTTATATCTTTAAGTCAATGTAAATTGGAAATGATAATACATTTTCCCTCCACACGGTGATGTTTTTCTGATTGACACACGGTATGGGGGGGTGGTCTCTGACCTGGATTAGTGTTTCACTTGATGATAGTTGGGGTGGTGGGAGGAGGAGGTGAAACATGATGCCATTGTTTAATATAATTTTTCCCGCCTGCT